TTCCACAGTGGGAAGAAGCATTTCCGCAGGGATGGAAACGATGGAAAGGCCGGTCGTATACACGATGATATCAGACGTCTCGTGTTCATCGCTGGATTTCACGGTGATGCGAAATTCGCCAAGTGGCATACGACGGCCTTGATGGCATTCGTAAGGAAAAGGAAGCGTGCATTTTCAAGTGGGTACTCACTTGCGGCTCTGATCTTCCTCCAGCGGGTGCCAACTCGAGCCTCTCCGACACCGCCTGCAATGCAGAAAACACGATGAAAATTTAACTCGCGTGAAACTATGCGAGGAAGAATTTATAGCGTCGCTGATCCCGAGGAATTTTTCACGTGGTTCATTCATAAAAATTTCTCTCTCTCTTTTTTTATCGTGTAAGAAGAGTCGGGATTACCGAGACTCGTTGTTCTTACGTGATTTAAGAGAAATTTAGTTAAAGGGATATCATAATAAAATCTGCGCATAAAAGTGTTGTTATATAATCTTGTTGATATTTAATAATGAACGAATAAGATTTCTTTCGAATGGCAATGATTTCTCTCGAAACGAACATCTTAACCATTTTCCAAGAACGTAACAACAATCCACAACATCGGCGCAGATGAAAAACTCCAATGAAATCGAAATTGAATCCCCATAAAAAAGGTTCGTCTCCTAACCTTCCCTCGATATAAGAATAAATATCTCACTTTTGGATTTAAACAAAACCATCTTAAACCTCCCTTCTCCTGATATACTTAATAGATTAATAACACGGGTCACTGTACACTCGAATGTGAAAAAGCCAATAAACCGTTCAGAATCCAATAACCAAACCAATCTCCTTAAAATCCGCTTCAAATCCCCACCGCCGACAAAGAGCCACCCTCTCCGAACCACCAATCTTCCCTTCAATCCCCCCTTCCTCGAATCTGCTAAAAATAAACCCCCTATACACAAACAGGGGCAAACAATAATCGTCCCCGACACCGTGCAATCACGCCACTTCCGGTCTACCTAATCCCTAAAATCGGGCTCTCGAGGAGCGAGCGATACGTGGAACCTTTCACCGATATAATGGCGGCCTTTAAGAGAAACGTCCGCCCTCGAACACGAGGGGGAGGAGGGGGGAGGGGAGGGGGAAGGGAGGGGAATTAGATCCCGGCCGGCTAATCGGTTGTATCGTTCGATTCAGTCATCTCGCCCCGGGCTTAATGACGTTTTAACGTGCTATTGAACAAGTTATAGGATCCTCTCGTGACACGTAAAAAGGGGCACGAGCTTTGTGGGAGCAAAGTATTTTTTTCTTTTTTTTTTCTTTATCGAAGATGTGACGATCCGAATTGAATTGAATTGATTATTCGAACACTGGTTTCATCGATCGTTCCTACCAATGAAATTTGTGCGTTGTATAAATTGGATCGATATCGAGTATATTCGAGTAAGGAAGATAGAGGGGAAAAAGAATTGATTACTTTATGAATATTATGTCAGTTTCTTGTGTAAACTCTTCTTACAAACGTTCCACGTTAATTTCCAATAAGGAATGGAGCAAAGTTGAGGAATAATTAGAACAAGTCTAGGTAAAGTTCCGGCCTTCTATCTTCTCTCGGGTTTCTGTTAATTCGCTCATTCAAACATTCGAACAAGTAAACTTTAACGCCTGCTTGATTTTACGACTTGGTTGAAGCTCCTTATATCTTGCAATTAACTCTCTAAGCTCTCTCTCTCTCTCTCTCTTTATCAAGAAAATATGAAGGTGTAATTTTTACAACATTATTTACATTAATTGTTGAGTAATTTATTCTAATTATTTTTCTAATTCAGTTAATCATTCTTTATTCTTATTATATAAAGTTGATGTAAAATGCATGTGTTATTTTAATATTATTTTAAAATATACAATTTAACGGAGAATAATTTACATATGATTTATTTCGATAAAATTTAAAATTAAGCTTTAAAATTAACTTGTTATTGCAAAATGCATCTACGATCATTGATTTAACATTGCATATCTTCGATCTAAAATTGTAATCACCGAATGAAAACTTTTGTATAATCGCTCTTTTGTATGTTTAATTTTATTTCTGTCGTTTTTTTAATAATTAATTAAAAGTAGCGAAAAATAAAAATAAAAATTATAATTGCACTATTTTATTTATATTATTAAATTTTACTTAAAAATTAATTCGTATTCAAAGTATTATGAAAATAGATCGATTTAAAA